GTTACCTTTTACTTCCAGGGAAATATTCGGTTAGCCAAATCCCGGGGACCATTATATCAGTGGCATAAGTCCATGGCTACAAAATTTCGTTTTGCTTTAAGAACTGACCTTAGCGAAGAATAAGTACCGCAAGCGTAAAGTCTTGGTGGTAAAAAGTCTTAACAAAAGTTTAAAGCGCTGAGAGTTGTACAAATCTCGCTGATTACTCAAATAAATCAGGCTGCAGTTGCTGTCTTTTTTAACAGGCCTTATCACTTGTGAAACATATCTGAAATGAAGTGCAGTTAGCACTATTCATCAAATCTGAACATTTTAAATACTGATTTCAGCCTATATTTTAATAATACTGTCAATAATAAGTTCTCTCCACAACAAGGTGCTGTGTGCTGTAAATCACTGGATCAATGTGAACAGATGGGCATGATTTAATTTATCTCATTTTTTTTTTTCAGCAATGAAGCTAACCACGGACGAGTTTTTGGAAAAGATTGGTAGCTTTGGCCGCTACCAAATCGTCATCAACATCTTTTTCAATTTATGTTATGCGTTTTGGTGGGCCATTCCTGTGATGATATCGATATTCATTGCGTCAGATCCCGGGTGGAAGTGCAAAAATAACTCCACGTGTCCTTTTACAGAGACCATCAGTCTGGGCGACAAACGGTACAATCACAGATGTGATATTCCCAGAGAGGACTGGGAATTCAATGATGACTTCACATCAGTTGTCACTGAGGTAAATTAAACTTATACTGCATTCCAACTGTTTGCACCGTCAACCATAAAGTCGATATGAACAATCAATCAGTCCGTCAATCAATCAGTCACTCNTCAGTCAGTCAATCAATCAATCAATCAATCAATCAATCAATTAGTTAGTCGGTCGGCCAGTCGGCATGTCGGTCGGTCGGTCGGTGATCTACTGTTCGAGCACTCAACGGCTGACATTGTTGGCAGGTCACTTTAAGAGTAAATAATTCAAGAATATGATAGATGACAGACGCAGAAAAAGTTTTCGCGAATTCGTTCTATACATGGACAGGGAGACAAAACGATCAAGCATAGACATCCCTCAAGCGAAAACGCTGGACAAAAGTGCGAGATTATCTGAATCATGGTTTTTCAAGCAAAATGTTTCACAATGACAAAAAATTCAAACTACTTCCAATAGCTCGAGACTAAAACGCAAAAACGCAGTTTTTAGAACTAACCAGTTTCCATTTTGAAATATTTGAAAAATCACTCAGTTTATCACTGATTAATTCATCTACTCGATCAAACTTGAATCATCCAGATTAATACTGACGGCAAATTGAACTGGTTCTATTCATCGAATCCAACGTTAAACTTTGACTAATACGTGTTTTTGGCCTTGCAGCTCAATCAAGTTATCTTAAATAATTGTACGTTGATGATTTTCTGTTCAAAGTATTAACGCTTAGATGCAATTAAGATGCAGTTTTTCGTTTTTATCGGGAATCGAGAGCACTAATTACACCGTCGCGTCTGATTAAGTTTGGCGAAATTTCCAAGAACCGCGCTATTGCGTCATCTGTGTGTCTGTACTTTTATTGACGACGATTAGTTAATGAGTGTGCGACGCCCGTGGCTCTTGTTCCCATTTCGCGCCATCCCAAACTTCCCCTGTAACTCGATATAAATACGATCATTGTGGCTTTTCTATTTCTGACGTACATTAGCCATAGGACTCTACGGCTAATGACTCTATCACTCTACAGTTCTAACCTTCATCATTAATAAGACCTCTCGCTTTAAATTTTACTTGATATTCTTCTTTCTGATTTTATTATTATTATTATTATTATTATTTTATTATTTTTTTTTTTCACAGTTTGAACTTGTGTGTGAACGTGGTTCTTTGGGATTCGTTTCCACCTCAGTCATCTTCGCCGCTTTTTTCATTGGCAGTCTTATTGTGAGTTCCGTCTCTGACAAGTTTGGCAGGAAGCGGCCTCTGTTCATTTGCGGGTTTATTTGCTGCATAGTTCATTTGGTGTCAGCGTTTTCCCCTGCATTCTGGGTTTTCGCCCTTTTCCGTGCTGTTGTTGGGTTCACGATAGGTAAGCTGTATAACTGTGACTTTGTTGTGGTGCTCTTGGCGAGGCCGTTCCTCGTTCCTCGGCTGGTCAGTCACCATTCTGCATCTCAGAGGATGTAAGGATGTTGTCTTCAGTTCCTGCATGGTGATCGTCACTTGTCGCCAATTTTGAGGTCAAAATAAAGGAGCCAAGATGACCTCATACGTTTTAAAGAATCCTCCATATTGAATTAATCATCTCCGATTTGAGTTTTTAAATGATTATGCCACAATATCTCAAAAATAATGGCTTCTGGCCTTGACCATTTTTATCGAGATATATTGCTCATATTGCATATCTATTGTAACTCGTTTTGAAAGGACATGAAAAACATTTATTGCTTACCGTTCAAAATAAGCTAATGAATAATTAGATATGATTAATTTATAGCGGAGCTCCGGCGGCCCGAAGGGCCGCCAAGCGGAGTCCCATACTCATACAGGAAAGAAAGGGAAACCCATGAGTTGATTTTCTCATGGTTATCATGGCTAGCGTTATTGCTTGTGGGCGCGTACACACGACGGCGACGGCGACGGCGACGACGACGACGGAGTCGCACAACACGGCGGTTATAACTCCAAATAATAAGTTGACAGAGATATGCAGCCTTGGTTTACCGTGTACTTCTTTGATATTGGACATCCAAGTTATGATCAATTGACACCTGTCAAAACAAGGTATCCGCT